TCTCCATCTCCTTCTCCTTCTCCTTCTCCTTCTCCTTCTCCTTCTCCTTCTCCTTCTTCTTCTTCTTCTTCTTCTTCTTCTTCTTCTTCTTCTTCTTCTTTTGCCCTCCATCGTTCCCAGCATTGGGCTCTTCTCCTTCCTTCCCATGAGGTGGCCAAAGTCTTTGAGTTTCCTCTTCAGGATCCGGCCTTCTCAAGAGCAGTCAGGGTGGATCTCCTCTGGGACCGACCGGTTGGATGGCCTTGCCGTCCGAGGGACTCGCGGGAGTCTCCACCTCCGGCCCCAGAGTTCAAGGGCCTCCATTCTTTGGCGCTCAGCCTTCCTTGTGGTCCGACTTCCACAGCCCTGCGTTGCAACTGGGAAAACCACAGCCGTGACTCTGCGCGCTTTCGTTGGCAGGGGGATGAAATCTACCCCTGAAACTAGAAGTTCTTAAGCGGCTTCTACAAATAACTCAAGAGTTGTTGGTTACAAGACAGGCAGCAAAGACATTTCACAATAAAAATGAAACACAGGCAGTCCTCGACTTACAACGGTTCGTTTAGCGACCGTTCGAATTCACAACGGCGCTGGGGAAAAAAAAGCGGCTTATGACCGACGTTCACTTTTACGACTGTTGCAGCCCCTTTTCACGCTCAAAATTCAGATTCTTGGCAACCGGCTCATATTTACGACGGCTGCAGCATCCCTAGGGTCATATAACCACCCTCCCCCCTTTTTTTGCGACCTTCTGACCAGCAGAGTCCCCGGGGGAATCTGCCAGATTTGCTGAGCAAACCGCGTGACTCACAACGGCGGCGATCCGCTTAACAACGCTGGCAAGAAAGGGCCATGAAATGGGGCAAAACTTACGGGACGAATGTTTCATTCGGCTACATACATTTGGGGGCTCCGTTGTGGCTGTAACTCGAGGACTACATGTATAGATTTCGACCCTGGGGCTCCCCCAATATTGGTTCTCAGTCTCCTGGTGGAAGCATTGAGGCCGATCTCTGCTCCCTCCCCAGGTGACCTCCTACGGTGGAGAGTTGCGCTACACCATCAGCCACGATGCCTTCCCTGGATCCCCTCTGCTGCGCGGCCGGGCTGACGTTCTGATCCAGGGAAATGGCATTTTCTTGGAGCACGTGACTGCAAGCACCCCTCTGCCCGGCGAGCCAACCACCTTTGTGGTGCCCTTCCGGGAGGTAAGAACCCAGCTTGGCAGGAAGTAGACTCTACCTGGGCCTTTGCTTCACCTGCCCAGCCACGGAGGCAATTCAGCTGCAGCCGCAGCCACCGTGCAGAAGGGGAGCCTCTGTGTGTGTGTGTGTGTTGTGTGTTTGGTGGTTCTCATTTCCCCACCTTGAGGGAAGGTCTGGTGGACAAAAGGCGGCATTTACACATACGTACACTGTTAAGATACTGAAATTTAAGAGCTGACCAGTTGCTGGAAGGCTGATGCAATGTAACACTGATGCAATAAGGATGTATTAGCATAGCATGAGTATTGCCCTTTTAAGACGAAGAATGGATCCACAGTTTTACCTCTTTAAGAAGTGTCAATATAAAGGCAGCCATTAGAGGGCGTGTTTCTCCTTGTGTCCTGTATTCATTGCAGAGTTCTCCGTGCAGAGTTAAGAAGATTGATTGCTTGTCAGGTATTGCCTGCCTGGTATATTTCTGTACATATCTTGTTAGATAAACCACCGTTAAATGTCTAAGCCTCTGTGTGCTGTGTTTTGCCCTTGGGTTGTCTCACAATAGCAGTCACGCTGCACAGACATACACACAACCATTTCTTTTAGCAAGCCTGGCACCGTGCCAATGGGCAGAACGCCACCCGACAGCACCTTCTGATGGCGCTGGCTGACATTGATCTTTTCATGATCCGGGCCTCCTATGCCGAGCGGCCTTCTGAGACCAGGTAGGAGGGGAGTGAAGGAGGCCCTGAACTGTGCCAGACAGGAGGGAGGCAAGGGGGCTTGTGGGTGGGCGGGTTCTTGATGGCTCATGGGCCGTTCCTTCCTTTTTCCAGACAGGAGCCCATGTTCTTAACTTGGTTTCCCCTGACAGGATCTCTGACATCCACATGGACGTGGCAGTGCCACACACCACAGGCCTGAGCCCAGCCCCAGAGGTTGAGGACTGCACTTGCCCGCCTGGCTACCGAGGGCCATCCTGCCAGGTGAGCAGCTGGACATTACTCACTGAGCCTGGCTGTTGTGGATTGCACACAGCCTGTGCAGACAGCTGCGGAATCTGACAGTGAGGAAGAAGAGACCAATGGGGACCAGCCCAGGAGTCTGGGGAGGACTCGAACGAGGGTCCTGCATCCGATACAGAGATGGGACCAAGGCCATCTGGGAGGGGGGTGCTGACTCCGGAGCCTGGCAGCAGCGAGGCAGAGGAACAAGGGGAGCCTGTTTCCAGTGCGCGTGTGCGCAGAACTGCTAGAAGACAAGAGCAGCTAAGACAAAAGGGGCGTAAGGTTTGGAGGTGATTGCCCCTCCCCTAAGGTATAAAGGACAGGCAAAGGTAGAGAAACCTTTGCAGGAAGCAAAGTCGTTCGCTCTGTTCGGATTCAACCTTGAAGCTCTGTGTGGACTTTATACTTGTAGTTGGCTTTTTTAAGAGTTCATTTGGCACTTTAGTTGTTGGCAGCCATTCAAAGGAGAGAAAGGTGGGTGCTTATCTTGAGGGACTGTTTGGGACTCATTAAAGGCTGGGAATACACGTAATTCCCAGCGTCGAAATAAAACAAGAGTTGTTTTAACTTAAGCACGTGCTTAATTACGGTCTCAGGAAGCCTTGGTGAGAACGCTGGCAGGGGGCTCTCGGGGCACCCAGGACGGGGGGCAGCCCAGAAGCCAGTGGATCGCTTTCCCCCCTGCTGCGGTTGAGTTGCCTTCTTCCTTCTGTTGCAGGACTGCGACGTTGGGTACACACGCAGCTCTAGCGGCCTCTATCTGGGCACCTGCGAGCCATGCAGTTGCAACAGTCATGCCACCGAGTGCGACGTGGAGACGGGAGAGTGCCAGGTGGGCACGGCCGCGGGCTTGGGAGCAGGAGGAGACGGTGCCCCTCTTGGCAGCCCGAGGAGGGTCCTGGGCTGCTCGGCCCTCCCCAGACTAGCCACCCCGCGCCCAGAACATTCTCAGTGCCGAGGAGGCACCTGCCTGATCCTCGCGGTTGACCCCACCGCTTCCCTCTGCTTCCAGGGCTGCCAGCACCACACGGAAGGGCTCCACTGTGAACGTTGCCAGCCTGGATTCTATGGGGATGCCCAGCACGGGACGCCCAGGGACTGCCAGCCGTGCCCCTGCCACGGACCATCCTCAGCCATCCAGTAGGTGGAAGCCGTGACTGCCGGCAGCCCACTCCTTGCCACGAGGGTCCCTTTGACTTCCTCCTCTTTTGCCCCCCCCCCGCAGAGAAACCAGGACCTGTTTTGTGGATGCCGACGGAGAGCCCACCTGCTATTCCTGTGCCCCGGGTTACATCGGGCGCCAGTGTGAAAGGTTGGCAGGCGGCGGGAGAGCTCGGGGCCTGGGATCAGCCGGGACCTCCGCTGGCGTTGGGGCTGCCTGACGGGGCTGCCCGTCGGCTTTCAGCTGGGCCGGCCTGGCTCCGGTTTCCGCTTCTTTCCTTAACTGAGCCTGTTTTCTCATCCCAGGTGCGCTCCTGGCTACGTTGGGAGCCCTAGCCTGGGTCAGCCCTGCACAGGTGAGTTCGGAGGAAGGAAGGAGGACAGGCGGGTGATGGAGGGTTGGCCGTGCCAGGGATGGGGGAAGCTGCTCCTGACAGGATGAAATCAGAACTGGCATGGGAACGAAAGTAAGAGAGAGGGAGGGAAGGAGGGAGGGAGAGAAAGAGAGAAAGAAAGACAGAAAGAAAGAAAGAAAGAAAGAAAGAAAGAAAGAAAGAAAGAAAGAAAGAAAGAAAGAAAGAAAGAAAGAAAGGAAGGAAGGAAGGAAGGAAGGAAGGAAGGAGGGAGGGAAGGAGAGAGAAAGGGAGGGAGGGGGAGGGAGGGAGAAAAAAGAAAAGAAAGAATGAAAGAAAGAAAAAGAAAAAGGAAGAAAGAAAAAAGAGGGAGGGAAGGAGGGAGAGAAAGAAAGAAAGGAGGGAGGGAGGGAGGGAGGGGGAGGGAGAAAAAAAGAAAGAAAGAAAGAAAAAGAGGAAGAAAGAAAAGAAAGAAAAAAGAGAGGGAGGGAAGGAGAGAGAAAGGGAGGGAGGAGGAGGAAGAGAAAGAAAAAGGAAGGAAGAGAAAGAAAGAGAAAAAATTGAAAGAAAGAGAGAAAATAAAGAAAGGAAGAAAGACTGAAAAGAAAGAAAGGGAGGGAGGGGGAGAGAGAGGGAGGCAGGGGGAGAGAAAGAGAAAAGGAAGGAAGGAAGGAAGAAAAGAAAGAAAGAAAGAAAGAAAGAAAGAAAGAAAGAAAGAAAGAAAGAAAGAGGAAGACTTTAAAGATGGCACAGAAGTGGGGGGGG